AATACTAAAAAGATGAAACCTTGAAACATAAAAAATATGTTAGTTATGACAAGGTGACTTCATAAGTAAATCTCACAGAAATTTACGTGACTTGTAAAGTCTGAACCAGAAGGTGTTCTCAGAAACCCTCTATCCAATTCAGCAGTTTGTCCTCTAAGACATGGGATACTGAGGTTCTACATGATGGTGTTTGAAATCCCACCTCCCACCACCTGGAAAATATTCCATATACTAGATGTTACACTATTTTGGAATAAGCTATTAAGCCAAGAGAGAGTATATAGCCATGAACAGAATTCCTGTGTTTTTTTCCCACAAAGTTCTCAAACTCCTTTCCAAAGGAACGTACCCAGGTGTGTAACTGTTTGTATTACAGTTGTCATGGTAGTGTCCTAGGAGACCAGTGTCAAGAGACCTAGATACTAGTCCCTGAGTGTTTGTTCTCCAGGATTGAATCTTTCTTTATCCACTCCATGGTCTTAAATGAGGTGCTACCCAGAGATACCACATATTATAATTGTTTATTAAGAAATCCCAACATTGATTTGCATGCTTTTCTGCCTGGCAATTTTTACAAAAGTTAACCGTGAGGGGATGCGTGAATGTCAATAATCACTTGGGTTTATAACTTAGAAAAGTAAATTGTTATAACAGGATGAGGATCAGAATGTTAGAAAAGTGTAATTTTAGAAATCATTAAATAAAGTCTGGAGAAAAAAAATCACATTTTATAAGGACATCCAAGTTTATAATGTAGAATAGCAAAATTATGTCAGTGTCCAGGATATAATAGCAATTAACTGATTATCTTAACACATTTCCTCACTAAACCTTTGTTTTGCACTTTCCATCAAGACGGGACCATTGGAGATGTTCCAAACTTTATGAGCTGTGGATTCAAAAATTTATCTCTTCCCCTAAAAGAAAAAAAAAAAAAAACAACACAAGAAAGGAAAAAAGGGGCATGAGCAAACAGGGTTTTATTCTTCATCCTGATCATACTCAGCTTTATGAAGATAAGGGATGGCTTTTCAAGATTTCCTCTCTCGTCTAATCTTGGACAGTTTCCCTGGGGAAAAGGCAAACAAAACAGTGTTAGAGAAAGCCACAAGCCAAACATTGTGGCCTACAGGCAACAGGTAATTAAAAAGTCAACAGTGGGGCTGAAAGGGAAGATGAACTATAATGTCGTCCATACCCTGCTGTTATCCTGGGGCCTTGCAAACTGGGTTGCACTGATCTTGACTTGAATTTAGCAGGCCAGGCTATTTCACACTGCCAGGAGATGAGGTAAGTGTAGAGCATCTTTTCATGCAGTGTGGTGCAGTGCAAAGTCTTGTGTGTGTGTGCAGGGGACTGACAGGTTTGACTTTCTGTGTGCCACACGGAGCCCCTCACCTGGCACTCCAGGATCCAGCTCTGTTGAGCTGAATATGTTGGGTAGAATTTGGAGCTCTAAACTGCAAACAAACTGAAAAGAAAAAAAAAAAAAAAAAAAACAGTAATGGAAAGGTGAGGTTTTACATCAGGATCCAGGTTTTAGCAATTGAGAGAAAAGGTAAGAAGAAATAGCAAAATAACGCATTGTTGTGGAGATCCAGTGTCTTGGAAATGTCACCTTGGGCATCCTGTAATTTAATCTGATCTTATTTCTTGCTGGGCACAAAAAAAAAGGAGTGACAAACTGCACACAAGGTTTTCCTTTAAAAAGTTCAGTTCCTTTTCTAACGCTTTTACTTTTTCCCTGAGGACTGGTTGCTCTAGGTAAGAATCCCCATGTGTCTTTAGATGAAGGGCCCTGTGACTGAAAATCAGCCACTTATTTTCTATATATAATGCTTCAGTAAATGAATGCTTGTGGAAAGATGCCTTGAAGAAACCCTGTGTCTCTCAGGCAGCTTTTTGTCTCTGTGGATTACAAACAAAACAGGCATTTTTATAGCACACATTTTTAATTAGCACCGTTGTTATCTAAGTAAATAATGAGTAGATTAAAATACTCATTTAAAGAAATTACATTTAATTAAAACCAAAATAATGACTAAGAGGAATTCTCCAGCAGGAAGACAGTACCATAAGGAGTATTACTGCTCTTTGCTATACTAACCTCTATCTCTACTCCACACCTCTTAGGCTTTGCTGTTTTTCTGTTTGGCCCCAAAGGACAGAGGTGTTTTCCAGCTGCAGCATAAGACCTGGGCTGCCCCAATGTTAGAGCACCAGAGCACGCCATCCCCTTTGGTATCAGATGCCTTGTTTGCACTGCAGCAATAACCTGGGAACCTGGGATGGGGCTGGTTCAGCCAGGGATGTGACAGGGGAAAAGGTTCAGCTACCAAGCACTTCAGAGTTTCAAAGGCAGGAATGCTGGGGGCAGCTCACCCTCTGGCATCAGTGCTTCACTTCCATCTCATCTCATCTTGTACTAGATGTGGTCACACAGTACGACAGCACTTCACCAGCTCCTGCTGAAGAACAGCCCCGGAACACCGTTCAAGAGCAATGGAAATGCGTGAATGTCTTGCACAGGAACAAGCTCAGGGAGTGACATCAGCACCCCCAATGTCAGTTTGATGGTTGCATGTTCAGGCAAGGATTCTGTGGTTACCAATGCTTAATTTTATAAACCTAAAAGTAGCACCATTGATTACATAAGAATTACTCATGCACATCTAATGTTAGGCCTGGTGGACCTAACATTTAAGTGTGTGTTTTATGTTTGGGTACACATTTTTTTATCAGACAACATTTGTATCCTGATCTTGCTAAACAAACATCTGAAATCATTGCTCTCATAGATACATAACTGGGAAGCTTGGAGTCTCATCAAGAGAGCCTGAGCAATGGGTTAAACCTAATCTTCATATCAGAAGGTGACTTCTTCTTTAGCAGTTGGTTTTTTTTTTCCTGTATAAGCCAGCTGTGTGAATGCAGGTGAGGCCTCAGGGCAATATTTTAAAGTCAGATCTCTGATGTGGGAATCTTAATACAGTTGACCTTTGATTTGAGAAGTGCTGGAGTGTTACTGTCTAATCAATATCTGGCTTGGCTGGTCTGCTTCAATTTTCTCCTCTGAAAACTATTTCTCTCTCAAGGGTGAGATGAAACTTCATAAATGTCGAGTGTGAGCTTTTGGACAATTTAAAAGGTGCAAGGTTTTACCGGGCAGGATGATTGGAAAAGATGTTATTCTGGTGGAATTTTGCTGCTGCAAATTTCTTGCACACAGCAAAGTAATATCATCCTATCGATATACTTTCATTCACTAAGATACGTACTTACAGTAAAAAATACAAACTGCAGGGTTCAAGTTCCTTGCAAATTGCTTCCAAGTTTTGTCTGGTGAAACAGTATCATTACAGCAATGTGGAACAGAAAGCGCAAAGCAGCTTTATGTAACACAACTGCAAGCCATGGAAACAGAGCCTCGCAGAAAGTGCAACTCATACTTGAATTTGGCAGGGACAGAGTGACAAATATACTTGCACTTCAGAGAAATGGCATATGAATTTTAGTGTGTCGTGGTCAGGACCCTGTTCTACATCTGATGACAAAGAAGGAGCATGAATATTGAGTGTATCAGTTAAGCTTCTGGCTTAAGGCCACTCTCCAGGCAACGTGCCATAGCTATGAAATCACTGTTATTTTCGACTTCACATTAGATGAATAGGGTAGTGCAAGCTGTTTGAAACTCAGCTTCGATGTATTTAAATGTTTTGAAATAATGCCTAGCATTTGATACAGAGTTTTGTTAACATTAGCTTTCTGAAGTGCCTGATAAAAATAGTTTTATTCCCCGCAGTTTTAATGTTATTTTTCTAATTAAATGCAGATGCTTAAACCATCAGTATTCACCACAAGATTTAGTTAATCAGACATTATATCATCTATTTTAATCCTGAATTATGTTCTAAATTTTTAACTGAACACTAAACACTATGGCAGATACGATTATGACTCCTTGCTGTATATCATAATTCCCCGGGAACAAATGGAAACATAAAACCACTTCTCTTTAAGTCAGTGTCAAAGTTGTCATGGGCTTCACTGAGAACTACATTTGGTCACAAATGCCCAGGTCTTTGCTGCTTAAAATAATCTCCTTTGGCTCTTAAGTCACACAGGCCCAGAAGCTGCAGACTGGTATCAGTGTGTTGCAAGTGTTTGGTGCTGAAGAGAAGGGTTTTTTTCTTAAGCAGCAGCTGTTTTCAGAGCAAAATCACAGAATCACAGAATTGTGATCATCTAATCCAACCCCCGCTGGCCAAGGCAGTCACCCGGAGTAGGTGACACAGGACCGCATCCAGCTGGGAAAACTTTTTCCACTGGAAGATCTCAAAGAAATCACTGCCGGACAACAGGTTTGAACAGCCAGTTTTAACCAAGCAGCAGATCATGACAATTCTGCCAGCAGCAGGAAGAGAGCGGGGCGCCACGTCCTCCCAGCACCTGTTCCTTGCCTTGGGATACCCACACGCTGAGCACTTGCATTTTAACTTCAAACCAGCGGCTATTTAGCATCTTTATTCCAACACGTGCGCGCTTTGCATTTTTTAGAGGAAAGCAAAGAGATAAAGCATTCAAGTAGCGAAGCAGCTTCACTCCGGTAGAAAAGGGGAGTCTCAGGCGCTGAGGCTCTGCCTGAGGGCACCGAGCCCTGACAGGGAGGTGGAATTTCGCCCAAATCCCTGCAGGAGGCTGCTGGGACTCGGGTCGCTCGGGCCCACACACCGCCCTCGCAACCGAGAAGCGGCGAAGCAACGAGGACTATCGCAGCCCAGGCCCAGGGCGGCCCACCACTGCCCCACCACTGGCCCAGCTCCATCCCTTCCATCCCATCCCTCCATCCCACCCCTCATCCCGGCCCCTCTCCCCGCCTCCCCCGCCCCGACACGTCACTTCCCGGGGCGGCCGCAGCGCCGGCACCGCCGGGTCTGAGCGGCCGCGCTGTGATGGCGGCGGCGGGGCGGCGGCAGCCGCGGCTCCCCGGGGCTGTGCGGCTCCTGACTCGGCCCCGCGCCATGGGGAGCAGCCGCGGCGGGCGGCTCGCCTGAGGCGGAGGCGGCGACGACAGCGGAGGGCGCGGCAGTGCCGAGGGAGCCCCGCCGCGGGGGCCGCGACCCGCGCCGCCGGGGATGCTGCGCTGGGTCCGGCAGCAGCTGGTAGGTGCCTCCCCCACGGGCCCCCCGCGCTCCCCGGCCCCGCCGAGTCCCGGCTCGGTCCCGGGCAGCGGGGCCGGGGAGCAGCGTGCGAGCAGGGCCGGGCTGCGGGAGGGAGGGGAGTCCTTCCTTCCCCCCCCGCAGGGGCTGCACTTGGATCCTAGTTGTAATTTTTAAAAACATTACTTTTTTATTTTTATCGGAGGTTTTGCGGTGTTTGTTTCGTTTCTTTATTTATTTATTTTTGTTTCCTTTTCTCGAACACCCCCCTCCCCCCTTGTCACAGGGGACAGCGCGTTCCCCTTACCTGTGTCCTCGCCTCGTTGGGAAGGGCTCCCCAAAACTTCCCGGAGGAATGACGGTGCCTTTATTCCCTGGACCGGCACTTCAGGGATTTCGCAGCTTCTTCCTCCTTCCCGTTGCGAAATCTTTTCAAGGCTCTTTAACCCGACGTGCTTTCGTCTCGTTTATTTCCCGGTCCCTGAGAGCTTTGCAGCCGCTCTGTGCGTGCAGAGGCTTTGGAAGTGACGAGAAATGGAAGGAAAACGTCCGTGAAATGCGTTTGGCGAGAGAAAACACTTGGAAAAGGCAGCGGTGAGGGTGCCTGTCCCCCCGCACAGGCACTGCTTGCTGTGCAGTGTTAGAGCGAGCGAGGGAAACCAGGCGGCCGAGGCTGTGCTGCCTTAGCAGGGAAGTACATCGAGTTTGACTGTTTGCATTTGAAGTATTGGCCGGTTTCCTGCCACGTCCAGCACTGTTTCTCTTGTATTTTCTCTAAAAGAGAAATTCTTTCTAAGTAGTGTAATTGTAAAATAACTTTTTCCGCTCATTTGAGTTTATCTTGCATCACAGATGTTGTCCAGGTTAGTTAACGAGAGCTTGCATTAGTTAGGTTTTTAGATTTTAATGGTTAAAGCTTCTGTCCCACTAGTGATTTGTTTAATTTTTTTGCATCATTTTTACAAAAAAAAAAAAGGGATAAAAATTTTGGTGTCTTCTTTTTTTTCTCAGTTTCTTCCCTGACCTCATTTCCTATGGCCCATAGATTTTCCCAGTTCTCTGTCTGAAGCACAGAGCTTGTGGTGATAGTCTGAGTGCCAGCTTGACAGTGCTCACTAGTTTGGTCCAACACCAAGAGTTGCTGACCTGGAAATTAATTGCTCTGTTTGAGCTCTGACTGCACTCTTCTGTTACAGTCATACACACGGTTTTTAGAAGAAAGCCTGTTTGGTATAACATAGCTGTCATTTTTTCCACTTGAAGGTGGCTTGAGGTTTGTGTTTGTGGTTTTCAAAGCAGCATTATGTCTTCTGTAGAGTTTAGATTAGGACTGTATCAGTGCTAGCAATTCATGTACTAAACATGGTTGCTTTTCTCCCCACTGGCCAGCTTTCCAGAAATCTGTTTGCCCTTAATCGAAAGTAAAAGCTTAGTGTAATAAGATGAGCAATAAACCTGGCACTGGTTTTTGTGCTTCTAAAGGAAACTGATGGGAAAATGACTGTTTAAAGCTTGCACTAGTTTTGACAGGGAAGGATTAGTGTAGTAGAAAAACAGGATAATAAAGGTCAAGTTTTTTGAACAGACATTTACATATCGTACTAAGGGGAAAAAAATTCTTGCAATGATACATGTTTTGTGTTTACTGGAGATGTCACTGATGTTAATGGCTTGGTTGTTTCATAGCTCATAAGGATGAAAAATGGCCTAAGATAGGTATCGCACTGCATTTTCTTTCTAAGGACACTCAGACACTCATCCCTGTGTGTAATCGCTGGTTTAACACAGATCCCACCATGCATTTGGTGCTTCTCGTGGCTGTGATGTTTAGGCTCTGAAAGAATGTCAAAGGGCTGAGTACATGGGGAAAAATGCTGACAAAATAACCAGAGTGAGTGGGAAGAGTGGGGTGACAGAAATATCTGAATCAAAGGGTGCCAAAATTTATGTCTGATAGGAGAAGAATGTGTGGGTTTGGATGCCTTTAGAGCGTGCATTTGTACCTGTGCTTGATGTGGCATTGGGCTTTAAAAAAAGTGTTCTCATGCATGCAGGAGGGTTGGAACCAGGCAAATATGTGGGAGTGATGTGAGTGGGATGTTGTAGTAATACAAAAGAAAAACGTTGGTGTGCAGAAATGCTCAAAAAGTAGTAAGAGATTAGGGGAAGGGGGAGGGACTGCTACTTTGCTGAAGGTGCTTTTAGGTGGTTATTAAATACTCTCTGCATGAAACCAATGAGTTGTTCTGCAGCTTCTTATTTGTTTAAGAGATCAGTATTTAATATAGCAAGTGTCCTGAGTGTATATGGTCTTGAGAACTCGCATTTTCGAGAGTTGTAAAAGGGGCAGGGAAAATGAAGCAGGTGATCTTAAAGTAATGAGAAGACCTGGTATGGAGTTCAGATTATTTCAGCTAAGTTTTTTAAGTGGTGATTTTGCTGTGCTTTAGATCAGTGCATGCCTGTAGACCTACAGAAAGGGATGACCAGTCCTCTGAGAAGGGGAGACATGCTGAGAATGTAAGATGTCCTTCATCTTTGTAATGGTCTTACAAGTCCGTAACAGTTTTCTAACTGAGGTGTTACATATTTTTTTCAGTGATTTGTTGTATATCAGGAATTGAATTACAGTAATTCTGTTACTCAGTGCCTATGTGACACAAATTGTCAGGTTGTTTGGTTTCTTGGCCCTCAGTCTGTTTTTTTGTTCAGAAAGAATTCACACCACTCTACAGAAACAGTTTATCAGTTTTTCGTCATCTATTGCTGTCCCATTCTAAATAGACTGCATAGTAATTCATTAACTTTCTAGTTAATAATAAAAAGATACAATTATTTAGTTAATAGTTGGATGTACTTAAGTTTTAGTAACGAAAAATGTAGAGACAAGTGGAGTTACAATTCATGGCTTTGAGTAAAATGCCCTGAGGTACTTCAAAGATGAGCTTTGCACAGGAAAGATGCTTGGGTTCCAGCTCTGTTACCTTGAGATCTCAGAAAGGCAGGAGGCATGTGGATTTGCTGAGGGTTGCATAACATCGTAGGCACAGCCAACTCTGCTTGAAAGAAGCAACTGGATAAACAACAGTTGATAGGAAGCATCACTGATATTCAGGAATAGCATAGTAGGTTTTATTTGCATTTCCAGATGGGATGGGTTAGATGACATAGCTGATCTGTGTACAGCAGAGGGATGCTGTGGCTCCCCTGGTCGAGTTTGTGCAGCACCAACACAAAACGAGAGTTCAAAGGGTCATTTGTAATGCTCGGTGACTTTCTGTTCCACTTCCAGTTTGGTGGGTTTGTGACAGTGTTCGGACCGTTCAGGGGTCCTGGTGCTGCACATGGAGTGTAGGGGCTGTTGCAGTGGTATTGACAGAAAGTAATGATATCTTCAATTGTCTGGTGAGGTGGTATCCAAAAATTGTTGTAGAATACCTTTGTATGTATGATTTTAGTGGGGTTATTTTAAACTATTAGTCCTGTCATGTGAAGAAGAGTCTCTGGTTTTTCCGTCTGGTTCCTGTTAAGAGGAGTTTGAGCCTTTTGATCTGTTATCTGTCGTCTCAATGAAGTACAAAAGATATTGCATGGAGAAAACCTAAGAGCTGCCTGCCTGGTCCCTCTTCTACACATGATAAGTTCAAGACCAGCAGAGTTGACCTGTATTTGACAGAAAATCTTTACAATTTAGGAACCTCAATGCTGTTTTGCACTGACAGCAACTTTTACATGAGGTATTCAGACAAATGTAGCTTTGCTGTTTAACTGTAAGTCAAAAATAAAATGTATAGATAAACCAGAAAACCTAGTTACCAGACTCAGTTTTATTTCACGGTTATAGGAAGGCTCAGATTGGGAGGAAAGTTTAGAGTTTGTCAAGTCCAAAAGCTCTACATGGCCTGCACTGAGAGCTGACCACGGGGAATGTTTTTGACTGTTTTGTTTTGCTAGTCCCTGTCACATCCCTTTTGGTTCCAGGTGTTGGTATCTGTTAAGATGTTCTGAGAGAACAGATGGTATTTTGAGATAACTTGCAGTTTATTGGCACTGTGAGCAAGGTGGACAGCATTTGATCTCATTGTTTGCACTGACATGTGTTTATTATTTTCACTTAATCATTTTGTTGAATTAATTGAATCAATACAGTTACCCCCCCCAAAAAAAAAAAAAAACACAAAACAACAAACAATTCCCTGTATTTTTGGAATGCTCAAAGTAGTTTAAACTAATCTAATGACTGAGAATCTAACTTCTTAAATCACCTTGCTTTTCTGGAGTGTAATTTTCCCCGTCTTACTTGTCACTGAAGCCTCTTACCCTTTTTGGCTAAAATTAAGTGGGTGTTTGTTATTGTATACTAGAAAAATAAATACTTCTTTTCTCAGCAGAGTTCCCATGGTTCACACTGCCCAGCTAATACCTCCTGAATTGTCACTGCAGGATCAGCGAGGTGCGTGTTAGAACAGGCCAAAGGTGGCATTGCCTTGGTAGAGCAGCTTGAGCACTGGGGGTTGGTGACTCCCCTCATGTAACTTTGCACAGAAGAAAATGTGGCCTGTTTTTGTTTTGGTTTTCGTTAGAGATATTCTTTGATCTGCTGGATTAGTCCTCCCATTGTGTTTGGGTCTTCTACCGTTATTTTCTTTCTGTATTCTGTGACTGCTGAAGGCTGATCCATTCTCAGCACTGTGTGTTCCAAAGAACTGGCCCTGCCTTCAGCCAGCTGCCTGTTCCCAATGGAGACATCCGCTCTGTCCTGGCTGTGATTTTTAAGTCTTACCTTGTAGAAATGAAACCCTAAATTTAAAAATTGCCTACCCCAACCTAATCAAACCAGTCATGACACTGTGTCTTTCGAAGACTGTTTTAAAAATAGGAAGATCAGTGTTGTCCGATGTGCTGCCTTGCTGTGGGACTTGGATTTCGGGTTTTTTTAAGCAGCAGATTTTTTGTTGTGCCGAATTTCCACTTGTCACTCAATAATATGACTATTTAATTGA